AAAGAAGTGAGTGTGAAAATTGCTATATTATCCTTCTTTCAACCTTTAAAAGTGCCTGGGTATTCTCTTAAGATTGCCCTTCTCTTTCCCTCTTCCAGAGTCAATCTTCTGCCTTGGATGCATTCCCGTAGCTCCAGCCCCTGCCAGCTGTACCAGAGAAAGACATGTAACACTGACAAGAAGTGTTAAAATTTGCTCTTTTTTTGGCAAGGTTATTGCTAATGCACATTTTATATATTTAAAAACTAATGCATACTGTAGTATAGAGAAAAGTGAAAAAACAGCTCGTAGAGCCTCAACAGGATGTAATTAAGTTGGTTTGTTCTGTAAAGGGCAAGGGTTTAATTACACAGAGCTTGAAACTGCCCCACTCTGCTGCCTTACACACCCTCAGCGTCCTGGCCAGGTTGGACTCTGGTAGCAGTGTAGGACGCCTGGCCAAAACCTGGGAGAGCAAGTCTGTGCACGGGAAGCTTCTGAGCTGCAGAACTGCAGCTTCAGCCTGTGCTGCTGATGAGCAGTGCTTAATTCGGCACCTTTGGGACATCCTTCTTGGCTGTGCTGCAAACTGTCCGACCTGGCTGCACAACCCTAGCCTCAAAAATATCATATTGCTGAGGAAGACGAGTGTGTGACCTACTTCTGGCTTTTATATAACAGTCATCCGTCTCCAGCACAGTAATGCTGGTTCACTGACAGGGCCCCTCTTGTCCTAGTCAGCTTGCACACAGGTCACCCTTACTCACCAGTGCTGAGTATTCAGGGCCTCCTGGCAGCTTAATTCTTCATTTTCTCCTTGCTTGTGGCAGTGCTGTCTGTCCCTGTGAGTGGAGTCTTGCTTTGCATGCAAAACCTGCCTGGGAAGATCTTAAATCCCAGGCACAGAAAACAGCATTAGACATCTATTTCCAAATTTCCTCTGCAACCACAGCAACTGTCTTACAAATCAGGCCAGGAAGAGGAAATGCAGAAGATCTTTGTCACAACATCTCCAAAGACTTCTGTGTAACACACTCATTCTCGTTCCCAAAAAGCAACGTATGACAGCTGCTGCTAGTGGAACTAAACCAGTCTTGCAGCTGCAGAATGAGTGCTTGTGACTGAACTGTCCAATGTCCAGGTCTGGAGCCCATTGTTTTGCTGTAGCATTTAGAATCGTCCGGTATATGTGACTGAAGTGCCAGGAGAGCAGACACTCCCCAGACTCTTTTTGCTTCTTGTGCTCCTGACATTTTTGTGCTAGCATGTACTGTTATAGCCTCGCACAGCTAATATTCCGTAAGGGCCCTGTTAAACTGTCAGTGAAGTCATTAAGACATTTTTGCCTGAGTTTTCATGTACAAGAGGTTGGGTCTGGGACAACAGTTGTGCAGTCAAGAATTTCAGATGTAACTGGTTTTTTTTGTGTGTCTCTATTTTTGTGTGCCTGGTCTCAGACTCCAGGGAAAGTTCATGTGCACAGAGGATGAGTACTTTTTTGGACAAATTTTTATTTGTCTTTATTACTTTTATGGACAAATTTCCCCTGCTGGTATCCAGGAGGTCTTTAATTCCAGCAATCATTTATGAGTTATAACAAAATCATGGTTACAAGAAATCTTCTCTTGCCCACTAAGTGTAGAGAGGCAGCTCCAGCACTCCTGTTTCTAAATCCATCTGAATTACGTATTATTATGCCACTTGCCAGGAATTTCACTGCTTTTCCCAGACCAGAAGTAATGTTCTTTCATTGCTAAATATTAAGACAATAACAAAGCAGAAATACAGATGGAAAATCCATGGTTAACACATCTCACCAGCCCCCTTGTCCAGGTGAAATCCATGCCATGTTGTCTACCATTTATGGTCCAGGTTAGAACAAAACACAGGACACTTTCTAAATTCTCCTTCACAGCCAAATAAATATCATTCATTTTTCAGATACTAGTTGTTTAAGCTAATTAATCCCTAGAGGCAGGGGGAGTAATTTAGCTGTTTCCTTGAGGTCATAACTGAAAAACCATACCAGCCTTATGTAAGAGAAATAAGTTAATATAATGGCCAAGGTGAGTCATCGTAAACATCGTCAATGTTCTTTGCCATTGCTGAAATGTTTTTTTTGGTTCCTCTTTAACCACTTTCAAGTCTCAGCCAACAACTGGAGCCTAAAGGACTGATTTCTGAAGGTAGCCTTCTGTGGTGGGTTGACCCTGGCTGGATGCCAGGTGCCCACCAAAGCTGCTCTATCCCTCCCCCTTCTCAACTAGACAGGGGAGAGAAAATATAACAAAAAGCTCATGGGTCAAGATAAGGACAGGGAGACATCATTCACCAATTACCGTCATGGGCAAAACAGGCTCAATTTGGGGAAATTCGCTTAGTTTATTACCAATCAAATTAGAGCAGGGTAATGAGAAATAAAACTGCATCTTAAAACACCTTCCTCCCACCCCTTCCTTCTTCCTGGGCTTAACTTTACTCCCGATTTTCTCTACCTCCTCCCCCTGAGTGGTGCAGGGGGACAGGGAATGAGGGTTGCGGTCAGTTCATCACACACTGTCTCCGCGCTCCTTCCTCCTCAGGGGAGGACTCCTCACACTCTTCCCCTGCTCCAGCGTGGGATCCCTCATACAGGAGACAGTCCTCCATGAACAGCTGCAACGCGAATCCTTCCCACAGGCTGCAGTTCTTCACAAACTGCCCCAGCGTGGGTCCCTTCCACGGGGTGCAGTCCTTCAGGAACAGACTGCTCCAGCGTGGGTCGCCCATGAGGTCACAAGTCTTGCCAGCAAACCTGCTCCAGTGTGAACTCCTCTCTCCATGGGTCCACAGGTCCTGCCAGGAGCCTGCTCCAGTGCGGGCTTCCCATGGAGTCACAGCCTCCTTCGGGTGCATCCACCTGCTCCACCATTAACCTCCATGGGCTGCAAGGGGACAGCCTGCCTCACCGTGGTCTTCACCATGGGCTGCACGGGAATCTCTGCTCCGGCGCCTGGAGCACCTCATCCCCCTCCTTCTTCCCTGGCCTTGATGTCTGCAGAGTTGTTCCTCTCACATATTCTCACTCCTCTCTCCAGCTGCAATTGCACAGATTTTTTTCTTTCCCCTTCTTATATATGTTATCCCAGAGGCACTACCACCATTACTGATGGGCTCGGCCTTGGCCAGCAGCGGGTCCGTCTTGGAGCCGGCTGGCATTGGCTCTATCAGACATGGGGGAAGCTTCTAGCAGCTTCTCACAGAAGCCACCCCTGTAGCCACCCCCACTACCAAAACCTTGCCATGCAAACACGATACAACTTCACACACAAGAAGGTATCTAGTTAGGATATCAAAGCGTGTAGGCACTTTTAAAATCAAAGGGAATTAACTCCATTATTTATGTATAAGCAATACTCACAAGTGCCCTGCCTAACCCTGGAAGCATCTAAAGTCCTTGGACTGAAGTTTCGTCTGGACAGGCTGTGTACACAGCACAAGCTATTGAGAAACATACTGGGAGATGTTGTGGCAACACCAGTTTTCCTGTGTCTCTGCCCTGCCTGGACTGCTGCCAGGTGAGCTCACCCGCTTGTCAGTCCGTGACTTCACCATGGTATACCACTGCCCTTGTGGCAATGTTGAGCCTTTCAGTCCCTACTTGACTTTTAAGGCCTGCTGAGATTCACGGCTTAATTTCTTACCTAAATTGGTTTTAGGCCTTGCTTTAGCCATGCTCAGTGCATATCTAGCATGGCACAAAACATGCATGAGGAGCAGAACACGGCAGAGAAGAGGTTTTCTCAGCTGCCTGTCCTTGATCTTGTCTGCTAACACAGTGGGACAGTGGGTCTGTGGGTACACTGGGAGATACATGGCTTCCTCTGGCCCTGACGGATGGTGCAACAGATGTTACTAAGTGTTTTGACTAGATGTATGAAGGATCTGCCCTGTGCAGAAGACCAGGAGCAAATCTTACCACCACCTAATGGGGTTTGAGCAGTGGTAACTGGAAAACTGTCCTCATCAGCCATTCCCATCCCCTCTTGCTGCCTTTGACAATTCTGCTAGAGAAAGAAGAATAGCAAGGAGGAGTCGACTTCCTTGTACAATCACATCATCAGAGCAGTCTTGTGAGAGATGGAATCAAATCCCTTCAAGGAGAGGACAGACTTCAGCCAAGATTTCTTACACCCTAAGGGGTGTTTAAGTCACTGAGCTATTGCCTCGTGAGGGGGACCCAAACAAGGTGGATGGAGGAAGCACATGTGCCTTTGTCAGTATCTTGTTACTCTTCCTCTGGAAGATTTGTCTCTGATAGTCACATGAAAATCCTGGGGTTTTTTCTTATCACTTTGGCTTGTTTGCTCTGGGAAGTGGTTCTTGTCAGTGGTTTCTCGTCCAGCACTGTGAGCTAGACTGTCAGCCCTGACTCCATTCCCATGGCACATGGTCACAGCTCAGCACGGGTAATCCCCTGACTCCTTGGGACCCCGTGACCATATCTCCATCACTTCCCACCCTGCCTGTGTGCTTCCTCCATCCCCAAACTAGACACCTACACTTCTCTCCGGTTGCTCATATCCTGCTCTACCAACAACTCTGCCCACCAAAACCACCCACAGTGGCACTGGAGCATGGGTCTCTCAGCCCATTGCTATGTTCCTCATCTACTAGCAGGCACCCATCCCCATCCCTGCCCTGATCCCTCTGTCCCCATGCCATGGGGTCATGGCAGGTGAGGCCACAGCCACCAGTCTCTCCACAGTCCTTCCCACACCGTTGCATAGGATCTCTTCCTACCTCTTCCACCTCCCCCACATTGTTCCCGAGTGTCTTCGTTCCCCTCCTCTGTCCCCCAGGTCATTTATTATTGCCTGTCAAAACTTCCCACCTACTTTTGCTTCTCTTTAACTTCCCCCCACAGACACTGAGCCCTGCTAAGAATGGCGGTGGCGTCCTGGCACTGTTCAAGGCTTGTGTGTTGTTATATCAGATGCCTTGTCTCCAGCAGATTGAACCAGGACACAAGAACGCTGCCATACTCAAGCAAAATACTTTATTACTCAAAAACTACTTGGTTAATAAATAGTTGGAAAACAAAATAAATTAAAACTGTACATTAAGTTTTACATTTTTAAGGTTTTAAATTAGAATTATCAAAGGCCATCATTTCAGACTCAGATGCACAGTAACAGCTGAATGATATTGTTTATAACCAAGGAACATGAAGAAACATTTCTGGTACAAATACAGCCCTGCACCATCACTTAGTTTTTCTAGCAATTAAACCAGCTGTTGCTCTTCATTATACGGACGAGTTTCTTGTTCTTGATGTCAACCTCATACTGGTTTGATCCATGGAAAAAGTAGAAATGTCCTAGAATTGGAAGGACAAAATAAAGGCAAATTAATATTTCTTTTTTGTATACCTATTGATGTACACTTGCTATTTTCTTGGGTGATTTAAAAAAATATCAGAACAAACACTTTATATATATATATGTATTTGAAACATATACTTTTTTGGCTTTGGTTGGTCGTCATAGAATCATAGATTCATAGAATGGTTTGGGCTGGAAGGGACCTTAAAGATCATCTGGTTCCAGATCTCATGGGCAGGGACAGCTTCCACTAGATCAGGTTGCTCAAAGCCCCATCCAGCCTGGCCTTGAACACTTCCAATGACGGGGCATCTGCAGCTTCTCTGGGCAACCTGTTCCAGTGCCGCACCACCCTCATAGTAAAGAACTTCTTGCTTATATCTAATCTAAATCTACCCTCTTTCAGTTTAAAGCCATTACCCCTTGTCTTATCACTACTGGCCCTGCTAAAAAGTCCTTGTCCAACTTTCTTGTAGGCCCCTTTCAGGTACTGAAAGGCTGCTATAAGGTCTGCCCGGAGCCTTCTCTTCTCCAGGCTGAACAACCCCAGCTCTCTCAGCCTTTCCTCATAGGAGAGGTGCTCCATCCCTCTGATCATCTTTGTGGCCCTCCTCTGGACTCGCTCCAACAAGTCCATGTCCTTCCTATGTTGGAGGCCTCAGAGCTGGACACAGTACTCCAGGTGGGGTCCTTTGTTTTGTTTTTAGTTACATTTTATTTTATTTACCATTTTTCTGAAGGGCAGCATCAACTGTGTGGCCAATTCCTTGGAAGTCAGCTGCTATTTTTCTTGGATATCCCCTTTCCATTGACTGGGTATTTTCATTGAAACTAAATAAAGAAATTGCATGAAAACAAGAAACAGGCATGTGATGTTCAGTGTTGAAACCAGGTGGAATTTTTACTAAATAAGCCTATTCTCAGCTAAAAATCCAGCAACTGCAAGCATCTGTGATCTCATAGAACTGTATAAATCCTGGCTGTGTGAGTATTTACATCTTTAGTGGCCTATGCAAGGCTGTTTTCAGAACATCAGACTAAATATTTCACTTCCATTCCCTGAGACTGATAATGACACTGGAGGGGGCTTATACTTAGTAATAAACTTAAATAATTTTTCAAACTGAATATTTTAATTTCATAGCATCCAACCTATGAAGTGACCCCATGAGTGGAATGTAAACTTCTGGTGTAATAATACTCTTTCAAGATAATATTAGAGATTAATTATTAGGGCTAACATTACTGCTTAGCTGAACTTTCTTAAAAAGTAAATATTTTAATCTCCTTCCATAACTTTCTTGATAGATTTGTCATTTATAAATTTCAGAGAGCACTTCTGCCCCTTAATAGCTACTGAATGAATGCGCGACATGATGACAGTCTACTCACATTATCTTTTTATACTAAGTTCATGTAATACTGCTTCCTAACGAATAAAAAAAGCTCATTTGTCTGTTAATCACAGACTTGTAAGAGTAAATAGATATTGTCTTTATCTCAGGTGTTACAGATTTTGTTCTATGAAAAGACATGAGTAATTGCCTCTGAGTTTCAGCTTTATACTGGCTGAGAAGGCTGACAAGAGGCCATGAACTTACTGTAAAAATATTAAAATAACTTGACACTTTAAAAATTATTTTGATTATCTACTGTACAAAAGACGAATGAGCCTTACCTCCAGTACTTGTTGCCTACAAAGAAATAGGTTTTCTTGGTATTTTGGTCATGAACAGCTGCATCGATTTTCCTGATACTGGTGGGGAAGCCCAGGTTCTGAATAGGCTTGGGGAAGCCTGGCTCTATACTGTAGCCACTGACAGCCCAGTACTGGTCGTCTGCAGGAAAACGAGAAAAAGTTAGTAGGGATTCCTGAGGAGGCTGAGCTCCTTTTCATCAAAGCCCCAGAGCTTTCTGTGTAGTAAATGCCACCAAACAGCACAGATGTCCAGCTGAGAACATGACCTTCTAGGGCACACATAAGTTTGAATATTTCAAAGCTGTTGGATTTTCCACTTTTTATAGTCGTTAGAGTATTATATACTCAATAGTTAAAACTCAACATATTCTGAAACCTTTAAAAATGTATTTAAATAACTTAATGTAGGCAATCAGTTTTGTCTCAGCTATGATCTTCTCTCTCACTCACAAAAGAAGACTAATATCATATTGTACAGGCTGCTGTGAAGCAGCATTAGTTAATGGCAGTAACAGCATTTTCAAAATGAAAATGGATTTAAGTAGTAAGAATATCTTCTATTAGTATTAGTATAATATTACTCCGCCATTATTATGTAACATTAGCAGTACTACTATAACTTTATTCATTCATACAAAGGACTGAAGAAATGTAAGAGAAATACCTTTAAAAAATATCACTCGATCCTTCTTGTCAACCTCATAAGCAGCATCAAAGCCAGCTGCCAGTGATGGCCAGAACGAGGAGATGGTGTCGTGCTCAATGCTTGAGAAATATGGGCTTTTGCGCCAGACATAGCTGATATAGAAATGAAAACAGCAGTGTTTCATTGTCTGTATTTCACTAAGAGATCAGTATCCCAGAAATGTACTTTAAATACTGTTGTCTGGGTGCTGGAGCCAGTCCTCCCTATGAGGCAGAGATATCACCCCTTTTGGGATGCAGTGCTTTACTTTGCCCTGCTCTCTGATAGACATTTACCCTTTACTACTGGTTGCTCTGAGGTCACAGAATGGTTGAGGTGGGAAGGAACCTCTGGAGGTCATCTTGTCCAACCCCTTGGCTCAAGCAGGGGCACCTAGAGCTGGTGGCCCTGTAGACCACTGGCACCCTGATGGCTTGCTCAACACAACATGTGGTGTTTGTGGTAGTGCTGAAAATTGAAGCTTTCTCTTCACCATGTCCCATGCAGGTAGGCACAGCTGCGTTCTTAATTTCAGTTTGGTTACAAGTGTTCATTAAACATTCTTGAGAAACAAGTTAAAACCCAATTTAAGGAGAAACTACTCCTTCCTTGACTTTCCTGAAAATTATTAAGTTTTGTAAGCTACAATTCTTCATCATGTGTTTTAGAAGGGAAATCAGACGCACATCATCAAAGGAAGCTTGTTCAATCAAAACACAATTATCAGCCCAAAAAGTGTGTGAAACCCTGGGCCTGAAATACTGTTCTCCCTCGCCAGGGTGGATGTGTCCAGCCAACAGCCTGCTACAATACCCAGTGCCAGAGTGTGCCCAAAAAGGGGACACCTGTAACAGCAATGGCTCCCTACAGACAGTACTGGGCAGTGGTCCAGTGCAGACTCCTAGGCCAGAGTGCCACCAAAAGTCACCACTGACATTTTCCACAGCTCCCTGACCCACATGTGGGATGATGTGACGAGGACGGTGCTGCATACGAAGCAGCTGCAGGCTGAGGAGTGACACTGGGATTATTCAGCCTTGCACATTTTTAACAGACATGGGCGGTGGTGATGTATGATGGCTTAAAACATTTTACTCACCTGTCAGTAAAGCACATTACTCACTCAGCCCAGCTGGGCTAGTAAAATTTTGCAAAGTTGCCTTAATACTTTCAGAAAGAAATACCTCCTTTTGTAACCAAGGGAAGATAAATTCCTTGAACTGGATTTTATGCTTTGCCTTTGTGAGTCTCACAAAAAGATGTTGACAGAAATGAAAGCACTTACCTGCCTTTGAAGAACAGTATTTCCCCACGGAGAGTGGTGATAGCATCAAAAGTCAAATGAGGGTCACAGTCCTCAGGTCTTGTGGGGGTTTTGGAGGGCGTTGTTTCTGTTGGTTCTTCCGGGGTTGACATTTCAGTTGGTGCTTCTGCAGGAGTCGTTTCAGTTGGTTCTTGTGGGAGAAAAGCTTTTGTTGGAAGTGCAGGAGATTCCCTGGGGGCTCCTTTGGGAAATAGATAAGTGTAGAATTGAAAGATGAATTAGAGTGTTTCATGTTGCGGAGCTTCAGGATGTACCACATGGAGCCAAATGCATAGGTTTCGTAAGGTTAAAACTCAGCTAGTAAATTAATGCCAGGGAAAGTTCCTGGGTAATTCAACTTGGCTATCTGTGCTGCTAACTGTTAAAATGGTCTCTGGCATTGTTTTGCATTGACAAGCCATCGGTGTCTCAAACTGTATGTGCTCAGGAGTTAATGTAAAGCAAACACCCTTTCCAAAAGACAGTTGTGCATGTGACCACCCTTTTGTGGAAGATAAGAGCATTTAATACTACAGACACGGGCTGTTCTTCTGGTATCATTGGAGAAACGCTCTTCGACCTTTTGACTTACTGGCATGGATACAACCCACAGATTCTGTTTTGAAGATGTAGACTCTTAGCCACAATGAAACAAAGAGATTTGCCCAAAAATAATATCAGGAAATTAAACCTCAGTATCCCTGCAGTAGAAAGGTCAGTGCATTTTAGCTGTTGGGTAAAATTAATTATAAATGTTTACCCACCATCCACCAAAAAATTATGCTTCTTGCTTACCATAGAGGGCCTGAATGCCATCAATATCATCCTGATGTAGCCTGTAGTCCCTCGTATCCCTGGCCATATATATAGGATACATCAAAGCACCAAAGACGCTGGAATGACCAAGACCTAGTGAGTGGCCCAACTCATGAGCAGCAACGAGAAATAAGTTGTATCCTGAAAAAAAATCCATCACAAAGAACAAACACTAAATAAATTTTCTTGCATGACAGTGGGATACAGGTGTCATCCTCTCGTGCATGATATATATCGATTACAGTCTTAATAAAACAGCACAATCTAACTATGTCCCAAGTAAGAGGTTTTCTGGCATGCTGGAGAAGAAATTAGTTTTGAATTATAATAATTTATTTCTCACAGGGAAACCAATCTGGGGACAGTTTTTGCTCATGTTGCAGAAATTTTCCTGCCAACAAAGAATCAAAGTTTCTTTAATGTTAATAATGACTGAAAACTGGGTGAGAGCAATTTAGTCATCTGATCAGATTTTGGGAATCATAAATGACATGGAATTCACCTGGTAACTACTTCACAAAGACCAGCAACATGTAACATCATCCCTGGACATTGCTGGAAACCAAAACACTTCACTGTTGCATTTATTTATATTTACCAACAAAATCAAGATTTTTTTTCCTTTGCAGAAGTTAAAGATTTGCATCACTTTAAACCAGGAAAAAAAAAAAAAAAGTGAGAGCTCAGTATTACAGCTTTTAAGGTTATTACCTGAGGGTGAAAATTCCCTGTTTTACAATGTCATGATTACCTAATATTGGTGTTTCATGCTAATCTCATTTCCTTCACTGGAGCTGTAATTGCAGTCTGTGCATTAACTTCAGGGGACTGTCATGACTGCAGCCCAGGTCAAAATATGCAGGATCATTTTACTAAATTACACTGACACTTTACACCTCAGTAAATACTGGAACTACTGTCATGGGATCTGTGACTTTACAGTGTCTTCAAGACAACACCGTCTAACAAAAAACAGCCAACACAATATTTAAGGTTACTTACCATTATGGGTACTAAATTTGGTCCAGTTTTCATCTTCATCAAAGTGGGCATCTCCTCCTATCCCACTGCTGGGGGGGTAGGCATGAGCCAGAGTTCCTCCTGGACCATCAAAGGAATAGAAGTCACCGTGAACTAAAAAAAAAAAGAGAAAAAAAGGTGATGCTTTTCATCACCTCTGTAAGAAAAAGTGACAACTACTTATCATTCCCAGGCAAGGGAGTTCCCTTACATCCAGCTGCAAAGGACATCATTATATCTGCTTGACCACTGTAGAGCCTGATGAATCTTAAAGGGGTGACACTGCTCCAGAGCTGGAAGGCTTTTGCAATTGCCTCCTCTACATCAGCTTGTAGCATGTCTGGAGTGTAGTTCAAAATTCTGTGAAATAAGGAGAAAGGAATTGAAAGCAACCAGATCACATGTGGCTAGGGCACATAGTATCAAGGTCAAATATTTTAATCAGTGGTTATTATTATTTATGTGTCTCAAGTTGTTTATTTTCAAATTATTTGCTTACATAACAGAGGAAGTTTTCACGGTTTTCTTTCACGTCTTTCAGAAATCCTAACATACATACTCTCACTTGTACCCCTTCTATCCACTGAGTACAGTATTTAGTAGGCTGTTAACTAACTAACATAAACTCCTATTTTAGTATTTTCATCACTGTTTGGAAGCCTGAAGAAAAGGATATGAATAGTCCCCACATTCGTGTCCCTTTCATCCTGAATGGGGCTTTTATATGGAGAAATACAGGAATAAATAGTAAAGAACCTGTTGGCATTACTTCTGCCTAGCATTCACAAAGCTTCCCACTGGTGTACAGAGAAATATGCTTCAATATGTTACCGATATGTCACATCTTCTTTCTTCCACTTAGGGCTCTGTGGGAAGGTGCTGTATGAACGGACGTCTGGTATTCCACATCTAGGCTGCTTCATCATGTCCAGCGTCTTATGATTCAGCTCCCCAGTCACCTCTAGCCCAAAGAATGACTGCATTTCTCGAATTTTGTCAGCCATGTGATTGAGGTTCTTTGATTTAAAGAGAGAATTTTTCTCTTCTTTAAAATCATAAAAACTTTCCAGATATTTCTGATGGGAAAGAAAAAGCTACAGTTCAGAACATAAATGTTTCTTTTCAAATGCAGAGAGTTATTAACAAAATATTCTACATCACTAATACACGACTAAGTTCATTTTCTCAATAAATTACTTCTTAAGTTCTGTCTGTAGTCCTTACCTTAGCAAATTGCATATCTTCTTTTTTGTTTTCTGGAACCACCGGGAAAGCACAAGAACATGCAACATACAGTAACCCAAGGAAAGGAAGGACCTTTGTCTTCATCCTTGCTTCCCTGTCCTATCAGCCCTTGCTAGAAGACCGTTCAATCTCTTCCTTTTCTGTCTAAGGCTCACCAGTGTTTCTCTATTTATATCAGTTGTATGCTTGCTAAAGTCAATAACTGCATGACTCAGTTTATAACATCCTCTGATTTCCCACAGACATACAGAAACAAATTTGGTTTTAGAAGCAAGCTAACACATGACAGTTTACCTTGCCCAAAACCCCCTGATTTCGCAATCATATTATTAGACAGTATTTTTTTTTCTTCATTCCTAAACTGGACCAGTATTTTAAACTTACAACTATCTAAATCTGTAATCGGTCACCTGGATAAAAATCACCTCATTTTTCAGAGGTGCTAAAGGGACCTGGCTCTTTGTGAGGGACAACAATCTGTAATTCCTTGTACTATGTGATAAGAGACCTCCAGAAACTGCCCCTCAGTTTTCTCAATGTGGCACCATGCAGGATCTCAGCATGTCAGGGATGAACCCCTTCCTTTACTCCATCTCGTCCCTGATAATTTTAGTGACATAGATGATTATACAAATGACTTGTTTATCTCTTCTCTTGAACCTGATATCCCAGCATGGTTACAGAACCATCATCTATGCTGCTACCTAGCCCATGTAATCACAGATTTATGGCTGCATCCCCTTGTTCCCCCATACGTGCCCCAGGCAATCCCCACACCACAATGTAAAGGTCTCAGTAGAGCACCCCACATCATATATCCTAGTCTGCATAGCCTATCAGCCAAGAGTATTTTCACAACTAAAGAAGAAATGGCAGAAATTGGCCTAGATAACTACAGGCACCTTGGGAATGTGGGGGTCTTCAGAGTAACGGTTTAATACATGTCTCCAAAGTCAGATGGAAGATGATGAAGATTTGAGCTGCAGATTCCAAGTTCTCCAATTTGCCAGAAGTCCTACTTCCGGTTCCTTATGTTGTTTTCTGAACATGGTGCATTGCACTTTACGCAAGGGTTGCAGAACCACTGTCACTCAGTTCCCTCTTTCTTGCCTGTTGTTTCTGAGACATCCATCTTTTGAAGCAGAATTCTCCCATGTTGACTTAGTGCCCAAATGCAAGTTCAAAAGGAGAAATATGAGCTAAAAATAATCTACTTCTTTTTGAACATGAGAAAAAGAGGGAAAAGAAACCACTTTTCCAGTGAGAGCAAACATATTGGAAACTTCAAAAAAACAACCCTAGCACCACAGCAGCTGAGCTCTGCAGTCTGCGAGGTGGCCTGGGGAAAAGGTATGGCCTCCTTCCAAAGGAAACTGGAGTTGAACTGCCTGTCTGGAGTAGGGTCACACTGCATGCATGACCCAGGTCAGAGCCCAGGTCCCTGAATCGCTGAGTTAAGTGGCACAGATGTTTATGTCTAAGGCTGCAGTGGGATGAGGGTGGCTTTGCCAATAGCTCACTGCAGCTGTAACAGGGTACTCCTGCTCCTCCCATCCTGGCCAGCACTTCTGCTGTTTCCCTGTGCCCTTCTGATATCAAGTGTGCCCTCAGTGAACTGCTTCAGAGGGCTGAAGCTACAGGAAAGCAGCTCAGAAAAATAACCCCAACCCCACAAACAATAGTTCTCTGCTTGGGTTAGCAACTGCACTGGCTCCCTCAGGGGTGAGAAGAGGACCCGAGCCAGCATGAAGGAGGTGTGGGATATTGCAGATGGGAATAGGGATGCAGGGAGGCAGCCAGGCATGAGGCTGGGACACTAGGACCTCTCCTTTTGGAAGCAGCAAGGTAAAAGATTATCTCTGCTGGTCATGAAACAGCACCCCAAGCTGCATTCGTAGAATATGGTATCTGCATTTCCGCAAAGAAATTCAGACACAAAGCAAGGGCCATTTTAAATACTGCGTTTGTATCTCTGCACCTAGTAGCAGCAGTTAGCATATGGCACTTATCCTCTTTGCTTTCAGGTAACTGTTTTGTAAACACCCGGCTTGCTGTGTCCAGGGGATCTGGGGCGAAGCAGTCAGAGCGGCGAGACGTAGCACAACCAGTCGGCAAACATTTTAGCAAGCCTTTTTTAACGTTTAGGAAGCTATTATTTCTCACTGACTTTTGCATGGCTGCCGATAGGCATGTTATGGCTGCTTCGTAGCTGTTGGCTTCCCCTTCCAGGGTCTGTTGCCTGCATGCTCGAGCTGACATTTATGGAGTGGCTGGTGAGTGCTGGCGGGGAGAGCTGGGTCTTGCCTTGTGAATGCGTTTGGCATCACGAGTGGGGAAAATTCACAGCTGAGGCAACCTGCATGGCTCTGAGGTGTGTGAGTGAGTGTGCTTTTTCCTTGCACGTGGATCCAAGAGAAGACTTACCTTCTTGTGCTGACCCCAAAGACATCAGCAGCTTTTAGGGTTCAGACTAATATGGGTACTCAGTCCTGGGTTTAGGCATTACAGGATGCAAACAGGAACTGTGTTGTGGCTTTAATCAGAGGTTTAAAGTGCTTGAAAATTACCTTGTCAGCAGACACGATGAAGATTTATTGGCAAAGACACAGCTCTGATTTAAATGGGGTGAGCTGAACTGAAGAGATGACCTCACAAGGCACTTTAGCCTTACATATAGGTCTACTGGTTCATGAGTTCTGCTTCAGGGGTGCCCCGAAACACTTAATTCTTGACAAGGCTGAGGAGGTCAGATGTCTGTTTCATGCCTTGGCCCCATAGGTAACCCCAACGAGATGCTGATCTTCCCATCTGCCCTGGGAGGCTGCTCCCCTCTGTGCCCTGAAGTTGCTGATGCCCTCCAGCTGGGTTGGAAACTGCACAGACTGCAGTGGTGACTCTTGCCAGATTATACAGCAGCAAAGCGGCCAGGATGGATTCAGGAATACTGCTCATTTCTTCCCTCAGATCATTGGCACTCAGACTCATATGTCCCATATCACCAGCGAGTGCCTTAATCATCGCACTCAGGGACAAGAGCGGGTGCTTTCCCAGGAAGACCCTCGCAGCAGAACAGAGCATTTCACTGAAAGCCTGCCAACATCCGGGCTAATACTCCTCCACCACAGAACTGTTTGTCCTCTGACAGTGTAATTCCTATTATACTGTTGGGTCTAGCCCAAATGCCAGACTTTTTAGCAGATTTGTCAAAATTCTAGCTGGGAATTTTTCCATTTCTTATTTTTATATGGTTGAAATTCCATCCGGAAACATCATGCCAGTTCTGTTTGGCAGTTTTGACTTATGGAAAGAAAAAGTAGAAGGATACTTAACATAGTTATATAAATAATTGTCATTAACTGTATAAACAACTGCAAATTAGAAGGAAGCTTGAACTAACTAAACATATACACACTATGATTTCACCTCTTAAATTTATAGAAGGATCTGTAGACATCTCCTTTCCTACCTCCTCTTCATTCATACTGTTTCTAAACTCTCCCTCTCTGAGCTGCCTGTGCCAAAGAAGCAGGATGGGGTATGAAGGTCTTGGACATACCCAGACATGGAAGAAGCTGCTGGTTTTTCCCATGTGAATGGGATTGGGAGATAAATTCATACAAGCAGGTTCTGGGACTTGAGGAACAATAACTGAACAGAAAAAGACATGAGCCCCTTACATCATTATATGGGGCAGTCTTTGCTAGATAACAGCTAGATAATAGCAAAGAAGTGGTTGGAGGAGGTAGGAAATCAGAAAATTTACCACATGGAAAAAAAAGTAGGTCTGCTATTGAAAGACTCAGGGAAACCAGAGAATATTTACTGAAAATTAAACCCTTTCCATCTATCTCTGCAAGACAGTATTTTGAGAGTATTGAAGCTGAGCCTGAAATAGGTATTGACTTGAATTCCACAATTTTGCCTGTATATCTATACACTTCCATTCATCAGTGGGATGTCTTCATCCTAGTTTTATAATATAGAGCTGCTGCTAATAATTATGTTAGTCATTTTTCTACTTCATTGGAGCATTTTGACCAGGTTTCATTGCAAACTGAGAGATGGCATGTAGAGATAGCCTCAGTGGCTGATTTTAATTCGGAATTCAGATTTTTTTTTGATGTCTATATCCTCTCCTTGAGTATTATCAACAATAACAAAGCTGAAATCACTTCCACACTTGTATTTAGTGTATAAACAAGTTTCATAAGTTGTATGTCATTTCCTCTCAGCAACGCCTGACTTAGTAGCTTCTTATGAAGGCATGGTCACAAAGCAATTGCAGTCCATTGGTGTTATATCATCCATGAGTGAACAAGCGGTAGGCCAGAATCCAACGCCCAAGACTTCTGAGTTTTGCAGGAATTAAATTGTAACACAAAATTTTGAAATTTTGGCACTCTACAGATGACCCCTTATTTCATAATGGCAATATATCGGGCCGTACTCTGAATTTAGACATGGCCCTGAGCAACGGATGAGGCAGGAAGCACTGTGGTTGTGAGACACAATTAATTCACTGTTTCCTCTTTACCATCCTGGCCCCTACTAGACTCAGGCTATGTCACTGTCACAACACACCAAACCATCAAAGAAACTGAAATGTGGGCATGATCCCACCTTTCCTTGTAAAGGGGAATGGTCAGTTAAATATTGCCCCCTTCTCTCCTCCCATGCTCAGACTTTAATGGTCAAGGACCTGTGTGATCCTTACTCTGTTATAAAGGGTATCAACAAGCTTCCAGATCTCTGGATTGGTAGTTAAGGTGATGGTCATTTAGCCTCGAGAAGATTTACTGTCATTTCTTGGTTTCGTAGGACAGAAAACAAGTCCACAGAAAATGCTTTCCCATGTGCAGTTGGTCATCCCATCTCTTAACAACTGCTTAAGCATTTGACTTAGATATTTCCACAAGCCATATTGTTAATATGTTATATGTTAATGTTATATGAACCTGATTGCAATGCTTTGGACTGAGTATTAGGAAGAGATAGTGAGCTTTGCCATTTAAAGAATCTCCAGACTGTTCTGGAATTCCTTTTGGTGTGGACTGGAAAAAGCTTAGAGCTTTGATAATTTGACATAGAAGCCCTAAGATATTCAGCCAAGTTGCTATAACTACATGAAACTCAAGACACCTCCTT